GTATTTCCTCCTCTGTCAGTTCTAGAAGGCTCCACCTATCCTAGGCAGACACAGAAGCAGAGCTTGGCTGATATGTCTCCAAGAAAGACACCTGTCTCATGGCCAGCCTGAAAAGTGGGCTCTGCCTTTGCTGACCCTCCACAACTGTCAGACCCATCATGAACAGATAAACAATCCAATTGGAAAGTGGTGACTGATCATGGAGGGTGTGGGTTTTCCTGGCAATGACAGGCCATTTTTATAAGTTTGACTTCATGACATGAAAGCACTTTCTGCTTACAAGTGCACCATGGTCTCTGGTCTCTGTTTTCCAATATCGATGACTTCAAAAGGCCATAGCTCCATGGGAGAGGGAGCCACTGTTTATTAATAGTTAACCCATTCATTCACAATAGCTGAGCCTCTATTAATGTTCTTCAAAGGTTTGTCTGCAAGACCCAAACATCTTTTTGAACCTCAATCAACAAGCAGCCATGTCTTTAGGGGCAGTAAATAAAATACCTAGTAGTAAACCCTACCAGATGGAAATATGCCTTCTGGAAGAAAGTCCCACTGAGTTCCATTGTGGTCTCCATCTCAGAGGCCTTAAGCAGTCAGTAAAAGGCCATGACTTACCCATATTTGACATATTACATTCAGAGGAAACAAAGCAGAAGATGAGGACTGTTGTAGAATATTAATTTAAGATATGTTATATTTGTTTATGCTGTGGAACATTTGTTTTAATGATGCAAAGATGTGTTGCATTCTTTTATGTTGCATTTGTTTAACTCTGTAAAGCTGTGTTACTTTGTCTAAAATACCTGATGATCTAATAAAGCGCTGAATGGCCAATAGCGAGGAAGGAGAAAAAAACAGGTGGGTTGGCAGGCAGAGAGAATAAATAGAAGGAGAAGAATGTTAGAGAGAAGGAGCAAGAAAAGGAGAGAGGACTCCAGGGGCCAGCCACCCAGCTACACAGAAAACCATGTAGTAAGAAGGAAAGGCAAGTATATAGAATAGATAAAGCCCAGAGGCTAAAGGTAGACTTAAGTTAAGAAAAGCTAGCTAGAAACATTCCAAGCAAAGGCCAGGCATTTATAAGTAAGAATACATCTCTGTATGTGATTATTTGGGTGCTGGGTGGCAGGCCTGCAGAGAGCCAAAGAGTGAAAAAACAACCAACCACAGAGGACCCAACACCACCTTTCCTGGGATGATGTCACTCCCACCACTCTGCCTCCTTGTTTTGATGTCACTGAAGTGGGTTAGATCCACATACACCCAGGCAGAAGGCCAAGGGCATCAGAGCCTCCCGCAAGTCTTGTCCCAAGGAACCTTAGTGTAACATTCTGTAGTGTAGATCTGGAATACCCAACAGCCTAAGTGTTGAAGGCTTGACCCCCCAGTCTGTGACAGTGCTGGGGGAAGTAGGACCTTTGGGACGTAGAGCCCAGATGGAGGAAGTTAGATGACTCAGAGTATGTTCATAGTGGGGTGTCTCATATTGGGGTCTCAGTTCCCTTCTACTTTTTCTTTTTTTCATGGCTACCATAAGGTGGACAGGCCTCTTCTGTCCCATGGCATGTCTCCTCGATGTTGTACTGTGCCTGTACAAGCCCAAAGCAATGGAGCCAAATGATGATAGATTGAGACTTCTGAGGCCACCAGCCAAGACAAACGTCTCTGAAAAGTGATCGTCTCAGGCATTTTATGACAGCAACAGACGATTAACATACCATATACTAACAACAATTTCTGATGAGCTATCTTCTGTCTTCTTCTTTTGCACCAGGAAAATACTTGAGCAATGCTGGGAGACAGACTCATCCCACTTATTTGTGAATTGAAGGGTACTGCCTGCCCTGGGAATGGTGCTGGGGATGGGGAAGGCCACTGAGTGCTTCTTCACTCAACTCTGTGTAGAGACCAGTTCTCTGAAAAGTAAGGAGCTGTTGTAATGGGATCTTCCAAAAACAAATCTTGTCTTCTAACCAAGTTATCCACCTGCACCAGAAAGCAGCACCTGCTCCGTACACAAGCCAGCCTCTGGGATGACAGGAGGGCCTTGATCAGCAAGTTTCCCAGACAGATCTTGAACAACTGACAACACTTTGGGTCAGTGCATTAGACAGGTCACTGCTGCCTTGCAGCTCAGGGATCCTGAGAGATGCATTTTAATTTCCTTCTGTGAGTGAAATGCAGAGGTCAGAGGAAAGGTTTTGACCAGGAACTGATAACCAAGAAGTTCTAGTCTCTCACTGGTGGCTCATGGCTATCCTATCTGAGGCTAGAGGAGAAGATGGCTTACTCATATCCACAGGCACAAGGTTATATTTCCATAAAATAAAGAACCACCAACATCTAGCTTTCTGCCATAACCCCAAGCTAGGTGTGTAATGAGCAACTTGGTCCAGGATGGGGATGACTGGTAACTTAAATGTCTCTATCCATCCAACTTGATCACATCCAGGGTAGGTTATGCACATTGAACTTCTGTAGTTCCTCTCAGCTAAAGTCTTAATTGTCTCTTCTGTGGCCAGTGATACTGAACATTCACCACACACTGTGCCCCATGTTTGGCAAGGCTAAGAATTTACATTTGTGTCTTCAGGATTTAACATTCTTTTTTTCTTGTATTCTTCTCTCATACATTACATCCTGACTACAGTTTCCCTCCCCCAACCTCCCTTCTCCCCTAGATCCACTCCTGTTTTCCTTCAACAATGACACAAAGCAGGCCTCCCAACACAAAACATGACCTAACAAGTTACAGTAAGACTAGGCACAAACCGTCACATCAAGGCTGGATGAGGCAATCCAATAGGAGGAAAAGGGTTCCAGGAGCAGGCAAAAGACTCAGACGCCCCACTCCCACTATTAGGAGTCCCCAAGAACACCAAACTACACAACATAACATCCATGCAGAGGACCTAGCTTAGGCCCACACAGGGTCCGTGTTTGTCACTTCAGGCTCTGTGAGCCCCTAGGAGCCCTGCTTAGTTGATTCTGTCTACTATGTTCTCATGGTGTCCTCTGCTCCTCTCCTCTTACAATCCTTTCTCCCCCTCTTCTGTGGGGTTCCCCTGGCTCCACCTAGTGTTGGGCTGTGAGTCTCTGCATCTGATCCCATCAGTTACTGAACAACCCCTCTGATGGCAATTAGGCTAGGCACCGATCTATGAGTATAGCAGAATATCATCAGGAATCACTCTACTGATTTTTTCCCAGTCATGCTTGGTTCTATCCTGGGTCTCTGAGCTGTCCTGCCTCTGGTTCCTGGTCATTCAAGCAGCGTCAGGTGTGGGCTCCCTCTCCTGCCATTGGACCAGTCATTGGTTGGCCACTCCCACAGGTTCTGCATCACCATTACCCTAGCATATCTTGCAGGTAGGACAGATTACAGGTTGAAGGTTTTGTGGCTGGGTTGATGTCCCAGTCCCACCGCTGGGAGCCTTGCCTGGTTATATAAGATGGCAGGTTCAGACGCCGTATCCTCCATTATTAGGAGACTTCAACAGGGTGACTCTCGTAGATTCCAGGGAGTCTCTACTGCACTAGGTTTCTATGTTGTCCACCAAATGTCCTCAATTCCAGTCATCCCTCCCACCCCTGATCCCACTTGTTCCCATCCCCACCCCACCCCAGTCCACCCATAAAATCTCTTTATTACCCCTTCCCAGGGAGATCCATGCATCCCCTCTTCAGCCATCCTTGTTACTTAGCCTCTCTAGGTCTGAGGATTTCACATTCTTAAGGCAAATGCAGCACTCAGCATCTTGCAAGCCTGAAACTGCCCTTAAGTTTTCATCCTCTGGTTTGGTCAGTGTCCCCTCCCTGACTATCTTTGACACCCTCCTCCTCATGTTGCATGCCCCACCCCTCACCATGGCAGCCACATGGTTATCTAATCAGCTCTGCAAACACATGATGCTTCCCAGGTGGGAACATCTTACCCTACTCTTAGCTCAGAGGACATCTCTCACAGAGGGACCAGCAGTGTCATCCCTACAAAATCAGGTCTCTTCCCACCTCTCCGCCTCCCCCCTTCTCTTTTATGTCTCCCTCCTCCTTTTCCTCCTTTCCTCTCCCTCCTCCCCTTCTTGTCCGCTCCTCTTTTCTCTGTCTCAGTGTCGCAGCGCTTGCTAAAGTTTGAAATGACACATTCATTTGCCGATTATTTGTTTTCGCCTCTTCTACAAGACTATGACCTCTCAGTGATGAGGGTGGCCCTTGCCCCGCCCCTCCCCCTCCCGTGTTTGGCTTGGTATCTGGCACACCTGTTAGTGTTAGGGGAGTAGATGCTGAGGCGATGGATGGGTGTTCCCTCCTAGGATTTTGGAGTAGGAAGGAGTCTGACTCTGGAGAACTCAGCTAGTGGCAAGAACCTTAGCTAAGTTCTAGTAGCAAAAAGACAGTCTTCCTAGCATGTAAGCTGGGGAGGCCATGATCTCTTGATAACTCCAATAAGACTGAAGGTAGCAGGCCATGAGGGTTCTTCCCAGGAGTCCGTGGTGTGAGGAACAGCCGGGGAGCACAGAAAAGAGACTGTGTGTGCAGCTGGAGAGGAACAAGGGGGAGGGCAGAAATGCTTGAGATCCACACAGCATGTGACCCAGGGTGAACAAGGTATTCTCCATAAGAGCTCACTAGCCATAGGCTCCACCCTAGGAAACTGCCCTGGAACTCAGGAAGGCAGATGAAGGCACACAGCTGTGCAGCAGGAAGTGAGAAGTACTAGAGGCCCCACCCCACCCCCCAACTTCACCAGAAGCACCAACTCCCAGACTGTTTCTCCATGGGTCAAACTATGTGGCACGTGTCTTTTGGACAGAGAGCATCTGTCTCCCTCTTTGGCCTTCAGCCACTGCAATCGCATTTCACTTTGTTTTTCCTCCTTGGCCAGACGTTATCTATCTCTGAGTCTGCCTTCCCCAGAACAACCAGGCTGCTCAGAGAATGGCGACCTGGCAAATAGACCTGCAGGGGTGTTTATGATACGCACAACAATCAAAACCAACCTTGGACGTGTATGTGTGGCCATCAGATCCGCAGACCATCGCTGACTGTGCCACGGGGCAGGGCTTGCACTTAACCAAATTTGAAGGTCCAACCCAGTGTTTGTGAGCCACATTCCCCTTCTTTTGCCTAAGGAAGAAAAAAGGGGGATAAGTTAGTCAAAACTCTGCCCAGCCCCCATCGATGCTTCCCTAGGTTCCCAAAGAACACAGCTAAATACATACACTAAAGCATCCCTAAAACAGATAAGAGGCCCAAGGGCTGCTAGCCAGAACTCCCATTTGTTCCAAGTCATTAAAAGGTATCAGGGGGTTTTCTCTCCAGAGCACACATTCCACCCAATAGCTGAACCAAGCAAAATGGTAGCTATTAAAACACTGCAAATCACATACCCACATGGAAAGAACATCACAGACATTTCAGAGACAGTGAGAGAGAGCAGTACATTCTGCCCCAGTGCCCCATTCAACATATCACAAGTGTCTGGAAGAGCCTCCCACAGCCTTACACTCTCCTGGGGCTGCTGGGCAGCTTCCATATGGGTACCACATGCCACTGTGTGAGCACTTTCTACAGAAATACTCCAGACACCACCAGGAGATGCTTGCACAGCTGTAGAACACCATTTCTGGGTATACCGTAAGGCGATTTCACTATAGCTACCAACTTGCCACTTGGTGAAGGCTAGGGTGATGTCATTTCCAGCTCTGGCTTCCACATCTCACCTTTGCTGTAGTAAGTGGCAGTAACTGTGATGGCTGTGTCCACAGAAAGGACCCCATCTCTGTATCACAGACCACTGAAAGAGGGGCCTGCAGTTCCTGCCATCCGTTCTCCCTTAGCTGAAGCTGATCTCCATGCACTTCCCCTGGGTGAATCCCGTGGGCCCAGGGCAAACACCTCTGCACTGCCCATCAATCAGATAGTTCCGATTCCCTTGAGGTCCTTTGCTCTGGCAATCAGTCCTGCATGGTGATTAGCATGTGGACTCTGCAGTCCGAAAACACAGTTCACACCCAGCTCTACCACTTACAGTGTGACCTTGACAAAACATTTAATGTTAGAAATCTCAGTTTCTCATCTATATATGAAGAAAACAGAAACTACTTCTGGTGGCCATTATAAAGATCACAATATGTTATGGTTTGAATTCAAAATGCCCCAACAGGCTGATGTACTGGGGGCCTGTTTGTGGGAAATGCTCCAAAGGGCTGATGTACTGGGAGCTTGTTTGCTAGTTGATGTGCTTTTAGGAAATTATTGGATCCTGGGGGCTCTGATACAACAAACAGATTAAGCCCTTAAGGGATTGAAATATAATGGAATTACAAACTGCAGGCAATACTTATTTGGGGGAAGATCTCTGGGGAAGAGGCATGTCCTTGAGAACTACGTGGTCTGATCCCTTCCTGTGTTTGTTTCCTCAGTTGCTTCTGTCATGAGCTGAGGCGCCTCTGTCACATACTTCCTGCTTCCACCACCATGATGCTCTGCCCTGGCACAGACCTAGCAAGACTGTGAACTAAAACCTCTTAACCCCTGAGACCAAAACACAAAATTCCTGCCTTCATGTGGTTTTACTTAGGTATTTATTTTTATAGCAATGACTATAACTAGTACAGCCTTCAATAAAAGCAATAAAAATGGCAGATATTACATTTGTTTTCCCAACAGATGAGACTACAAAGAAGGAAGTCCCCATTGCATGGATATGTGATAAGTCCTTGGGGCCTAGATCCAGAGAGCCTTTAACCACAAAGAACCCATGAAGCTAGAAGGAAATCTGCTCTGCCAGGTGAGGAACTACACCCCTGTCCCTCAGGAATTCAGCTGTGGAGTCTGAGGGGAGACACACTCTTCCACAGGAGAGGAAGTGAGCAAGAGAAAGAGGTGAACACGGGAAACACTAATTCGGTTCTTATGCCACACCTCACACTTTCATTAGGAATTTAAAGGAGGCCGTGGGTGAGGAGAGTGTGTTTGGAGAATTCCTGGAGAGCAACATCAAAGGGAATCAGTTCATACCCGTAGCATAGCCCCTGGATCCAGGCTGGAGAGAAAACATTTCTGAGCCTGTCTGACAAAAAATCGGAGAACACAGTCCTAGGAGGGCGGAGACCACCCAAGATTGACCTTGTTTTACTGAAGCGGGAACTGAAAACACCGAGAGAGGTGGAGTCCTGTCTGATCCATGAGTCTGATTGGTTGGTGAGGCTTAAGGCCTTCAGAGAGTGTCCAAGGATGAAGCTCTGCCTTGCTCCATGTCTTAGTTACTTTTCTATTGCTACTGTCACAAGACATCATGACCAAGGCAACTTATAAAAGAAAGCATTTGATTGGGCTTAGAGTCTGTGGTGGTTTGCATGAGAATGTACACTCCCCCCGACCCCCACCATAGACTCATAGGTTTGAATGCTTGGTCCCTAGTTGGTGAAACTGTTTGTGAAGGATTAGGAGGTATAGGAAGAAGTATGACATTGGGGAATGGACTTTGAGGTTTCTAAAGCCCAAGTATCTCAGTTAGTATTCTCTCTCTCTCTCTCTCTCTCTCTCTCTCTCTCTCTCTCTCTCTCTCTCTCTCTCTCTGTGTGTGTGTGTGTGTGTGTGTGTGTGTGTGTGTGTGCCTTCAACTTGCAGATCAGGATGTAGGCTCTTAGCTGCTACACCAGCATTACGCCTGCCTGCCTGCCTTCCTGTTGCCATGCTATGGTGACCATTGGACACCAACATCTGGAAACTGTGGGCCCTCAAATTCAATGCATGCTTTTATAAATTATCTTGGTCATGGTGTCTCTTCACAGCAGTAGTATCCCTAACTAAGGCAGAAGTTTCAGAGGGTTAGAGTTGAGAGCTCACATCTTGATCCTCAAGCAGGAGGCAGAGAACACAATGGGAATGGTGTCAGTCTTTTGAAACCTAAAAGCCTGACCTCAGTGACACACCTCCTCAACAAGGCTACACCTCCATTCCTTTCCAAACAGTTCCACCAACTGTTGACCAAACATTTAAATATATGAACTTATGGAGGACGTTCTTATTCAAACTACCACTTCCCACCTCAGTCCAACTTCGAATAGCAGCTTTAAAATTATTTGAGGAAGGTTACCCTTGTCTGTGCTGTTGGGGGTCTGCCTGTTTCCCAAAAGCTACTCACATTGTCATTATCCTCTATCTGAGATGGAAATTTTTCATCATTTGAGTTTATGAATCACATGGACTTGAGGGCTGCTATTATTCTTCAGCAAACATGACTTTCTCAAGGTCTGTTTAAGTCAACCAGCACACATAGCCATGTGAGACTCACCAGGGCAGAGGAACGGACTGTCAGTACATGGTTGATCTTAGAGCCCATAATTTCTTCAGCAGAACACTTCACATTTATCATCATTCACACAGCACATTGTCTGTCACTGGCAGTGAGTCAGCAAGAGCAAGGAGATATGCTTACATCTGGTAGCTCTTCTCATGGGTTAGACCCCAAAAGGCTGAAGCAATTCCTGTTCTGAGCTTCCAGAAGGGGCGATAAAGCCCACAGGTTTCCCTGGAGGGAGCATGCCCATGTGTAGTGATGCTTTAGGAGAAAGAAGCCTTGGGGAGTTCAGCCAAAGGCAGGAGAGGGAGAAGTGAGCACTGATGGAGCCAGCCACCAATCACCAGCCCACGACAAGTGCTCTCTGAACTTCGCTATTAAATTACATTCTTTAAGGGAGGCAAGGAGGTGAGGCTGGCTGGTGCCTACCGGAGTTACGGCACCTCGTGGATGTTTAAGGTGTCCCTGTTGGGTGGAGGTTCTGCCCATGCCTGCCATGCAGTTGTCACTCTACAATTAACCATAGGGTCACAGAATGTTAGAGCAGCAAGTACCTTCCACCTAGTCTAGATAATGTCGCTTGTATGCATGCATTCAGGGCTTACTGTTGGGTAATGTATAACCCCTTGGTGTGCTCTTCCCTGGGGAAGATTATGTCTCTCACTCTCCACATTCCTTAGTTGCCCGTAGTTCTCAGTGCAGGGTTGATGCCTTGGGATCTTTCTCATGTCCACTTTGGCATGTTTACTGTTGCCCTTGTTTAGTTGGTTTAGGCGGCCATGTTGGTGAGGCTGTATGGGTGTCATTTTTTACACTGGTTGGTGAAAGACAGACTCACGGGAAACTCACTGATCCTTTGGCCATTATAATCTTTCCACCCCTGTTCTGCAATGCTCCCAAGTCTTAGGTGCAGGAGTGTTTTGTGAGTGCATTCATTGATAATGGACTCCACAACTCTACATTTTGGTTCGTTGCAGTTTTCTATTATACAGACTAAGCAGGTTATATATTTAATATATATATATATATATATATATATATATATATATATATTTACAGTGTGTGTGTGTGTGTGTGTAACAACATATATAAATATGGCCATCAATAAAAAGAGAGGCCATTAATTTGAAAGCGAGCAAGGAGGAGTATATGGGAGGATTTGGAGGGAAGAAAGAGAAGGGGGAAATGATATAACTATATTATGATCTCTAAAGTAAAAGAAAAATACTTTTAAAAAACTAATTAGATAAGTAACTTTGCCATATAAATGAAGAATTAGAAATGTAGACGGAAAGCAATTTGTAATGTCACACAGGCATATGGCACTTGCATCATAGCTATTTTCCCAGGAAACCTTGGCAATGATCCAATGAATCTCCTACCAGGGATCTGCACTGTCATTGGAAGGGCTCAGTTACATAAGAACAGCTTCTCTGAAGACTTGTTCCTGGCTCTCTACCTATAGAAGAGAATGCTTGCCATGCCCAGGGGTGGGTGGTCATGGATCATGTCTAGGTAGAAGCACCCTAGGCCTTGCCTCAAATGTTGGGGAGATTTTTAGTACAAAGCCTTCACCATTCCATTTTGCTGCTGGTTCCAAAGACTCTGGAACACCTGTTACAGGAGAGCAGTCCTGGGTGTTCCTTATTCCATCCCAGGTAGGAGCTCGACAGAAATGGCACTCAACCTGGGACATCTATCAAGAAGCCGAGCCTGGAAAGCTCTGTGCCACCAGATGTAAGCCAATGGGGCTTAACTTCCCTGACGCCTGTGGATGTATTTGATTCCTCCAATCCAGTACAAATCATAAAATAATAAC